ACGCTTTAGTGACATGACTCCAGATCACATTAAGGCCCCATTGATGCACATGCACATCTGCTGATCTGAAAACAGGTTTTATTTGGTTTCAATGTAGAGTATTTATGCTGTGTAATAACTGTAAGACAACTACTTCACAGATTTAGACTATAACAGGTTATTTTTTTGAATGCAACCCCTAAGAAAAACAAGGGTTCGCTGTAAATTTAGCATTTACTTTTTCTACAGCAGGAGTTTTCAAAAAAGTGCAACAGGGTAAATTTCAAAATGTAAAAACTTAATAAAAATTTATGGGGAAACAGTCCACAACCATACTGATTCCAAACACATTCACTTAAATTTTCACTTTATGGTTCATGTTCACATTTTTTATTGACTGTATATCAAATATATTTTAAATTTAACTGAAGATATGACATAATACAATATATAATATTCAATAAAATATTAAGACTTAAATCTTATTGTATGCACTAGGTCATCGTTGCCTGTAGGAATTTTTAACGTCCAGCAGGTGTCAGTATTGAGTGACAGTATCAGTTTTGCTATGTGTCGAAATGATACATGACGCCTCATCTACCCATCACTAGAAGCAACAACTACAGACACCCAACGCAGTTTAACAGATTTATTGAACAATTAAGTGCAATGGAGAGAGGTGTAGCTCAGCAGCAGCATGGAGGAACCGGGCCAGAGGAGGAAATGAGAAAAGGTGAGCGGTTAGACAGAGAAATAATGACGGGAATGATGGTGTAGCCTTGTGAAGGCTTACGGTTTGAGGGTTCAGATGAGCAGAGGAGGGTACATGGGTTTCTCAGCAGTTGGTGCAGTGAAGGGTTTCCAGGTGGAGGAGTTCCAACAGGTAACTGAGGGTGGACAGGCAGCAGCAGGGATGGTGGTCGTGAAGGAATCCAGGGGCAAGGCCTAGCAGAGCAGCGCGGGTCAGGTAATCCAGGTGGATATGAATATCACAGAGTGGTCAGAGCTGGTTCCAGGAAGAAGAAAGCGATGGGAGAGGCATCAGGGACAAGTTAAACACTTTAGATGCAGCACAGAGAGCTAGTGTACCACTGTACATCTGGCATCTGCTTCTGTGAAGCCACTCCTATTTAAGGCCCTTGCTGGTTGGTGATGATGAGCACCAGCTGGATCCCATCAACCTGCCACCCTCAAAATGTAGAAAACACTCCCCTGCAGAACCCAACAAGTATTTTCCTTTACTATAATATTTAAATAATATAAAGGGTAAAGGTAGCTATTAAGTAATTTGCTTACTTAGTAATCAAAACAGTATTGTTTGTAAATCAACTAAGATCATTATTTTATGTAAATATTGCAATTGAAAGAGGTATTAGTGTGACGTTGCACTGTGTATTTTATTTGGCTTTGCCATTTCAGCCCCAAGTGCTCTGATGCGTTCAATGGAAGTCGGGAGGACAGGACGAGTTAATTGCAACACTCTCAATTTTTTCCTCAGGGATTTCAACTCCTCGGTTTTTTGTAACAGGCCTGCAACGTTTTTCCACTCTCCTGGAGGTCGTGAGTAAGAAACTGACTGGGTTACATTTGTTTATTACTGTATCTTGATGTGTGTGGACATTTCTTGTGCTCTGGTTGAAGGGAAAAGGTGGCCATTAACATTTTATTTGTTATGCCTTATATATAGGTTCTTTAAATCTTAAGAGTTTTCTGGCTTTAAAGTTTATTGTGGTGATTAAATAGTCAGATTTCCCTTTCACTTTAGTTTAATAAAGTTAGGCTGAATTGCTTTGCCTAACATTCTAATGTTTCTCTGGGTCATATTTGTCATAAACAAGGTAAGTGGTGCTGCACACTGATTGGGGTACCAGATTGATATTGAACCCAAGCACCCTCCATTTTAGTTTTCACGCATAGAGTGGTTAAAGGTGCTACAAATACCTTCCAGGTCTTCTGGTTCTGGTTCTGCTCTGCATCCAGAACCAAATCAAACATGGAGAAGCAGCATTCAGCTTCTATGTACCACAAATCTGGAACAAACTTCCAGAAAACTGCAAAAGATGCTTTCATCATGTTTCTTACTTTGCCTCTGTAGTAAAATGTTTTTTTTTGTTTGTTTGTTGGTTTTTATTTTCCTTCTTATCATTTAAAGCAGTTTCAGTTGCCTTGTTGCTGAAAATGTGCTTCACAAATAAAACTGTGTTGCCTTGTCTTCCCACTACAACCAGTTGGCCATCACATGTCTACCAGTCTGGACCAGAAAGCCCCACAGGATCTTTAATCCTCCCAGTTTGGCAGTGAGACTTCCTGTCAATCAGGTGTTCAGGTGTTGGCAGCTTCATGTTGCTGGACTTTGGGTTTAACTTTGATACCTTTTTCTGATTTCCTTCATTTTAATGTAACAAAACAGCAAAAACTCATAAGAGCATCAATTTCAATTACAATCATCAATTTTGTCCATGCAATGAAGCCTTTTATTCAGTAATGTATTAGCAAAAAAAATTTTTTTTCACGCTTTTGAAATGAATACAGCTTTAATCAAAAATTATAATTTTATTCTTTTACATAGAGGTTCTATGTAAAATTAAAAGCAATAAGCAAATTCAAATCAAAGTTGCATGAAGTTGACCGAGGAACCTCCCATCAACAGGAGATGCAATGCAACCTTTGACCAGCAGGTGGCTCCAGATGATCTTTTTAGGTGTTTGCAGTTTAACGTTTTATGAGCTGATTATATTCTCGCAGCAGATCAATTCTTGGCTGTTGTTGAGCTGATTTCTTCAAGTCATTTTACTCTAAGAGAGAAAATAGAGACATTTAGAGACTACTAGAACAGTTTCAAATATTTTTAAGACTGTAAAACTAATTATTTTTGTTACTCACAGCATCCGTAAAGCCTGTTGACGCGGGCTATGTCGTTGGCGCTCATTTTAGTGGCTCGCCCCCAGTCATAGTTAGGATCGGACTTGGCAACAATGGTAGGATTCTCATTTTTGGAGAATGCATACCTAAAAGAAGACACAAATATATCCTTAAGATTATGATTAATTTTTTAAGATGCTTAAACTGTTTATTTCACCAGTTGGATTTTCATCTTTCTAGAGTTCAGAAAGTTCCATTCAGCAAAACTAAGCAATTTTGCCAGACTAAATCTCCAAGCATCTATATGAGTTGAATAAATCACATCATGGGAGAGAAGTTTCCTGCAACTCACTTTCCATAATGCATGACGGAGGTGAAGTCGTAGGGAGTTCCCAAGTTGTTGGTCTCTTCTTTTTCGAAATTGTTCTCTGCTCCTGTGCAGCAGACAAGGAAAGACAAAGTATTTATCAGTTATTTTTAAACATGTAATCTTAAATAGTTTCTATGTGATGTAGTTTGAAAACTGTGGTAAGATCACTTAACCAAACCGACCTGGCTGAATGTTTTAGGGATAAATCCAATATTTTAAAGATGCAACTTCAAAATATTTTCTATTTTTATTTGTGTAAGTGAAGTACAGAATTATGAAACAGATTCTTTTAACTTCAAACTTACCTTCCTCAATGTTTTCAAAGAGAATCTCAACATGTTCGTCTCTGTCAGAGCGGGCCTGTTCGTGGTGGAAACCCAGAGCGTGAAGAACCTCATGCTGAATTGTACCATGCTCCAAACAGCCATGTCTCTCCAGGGAGATGAACTGTCCTCCACTCTGACGTCCTATGAAGGACCAACACCTGACATGTTCCACATGGAGACCAGAGAAAAACATAGATTGTTAATGATGTGAACTTTAATGATGTTATTCTTAGTTTCCCAATTCCAACTCTAACTGGACTTGTTCTGAGGATGAAGTACAACTTAGTTTCATTTAATAAAAAAATGTGTTTGGTTCATGCTTAACTTGTAATATGAGTATTCTTATACGTTTCACCTAATAAACTTTAATCAAATGTAAATAAGGATAATTAATAGTCAGATTTTGCTCATTAATGACATCGTTATGACAACATAACCCTGGGTGATGCAATAAAACACCATGTAAATCAACTATTGATGGATGCAGTCATGCAATCTCCATGAATGTGTGTGAGGAGTGTGTTCCTACCCCCCCATTGGTTCGAAGTGGATGTAGTCCCGATCTCTGTAACTACCCAGGACAAAGCGAATGCAGGTGGTCAGCTCTAAGGTAAAGAGTGCTATACGGATGCCGTTGTGTTCATCTTGAGCTGTAAAAAAATCGGTAACATTCATTTAAATCTTTTCAGTTCATTCTTGAATAATGAAACATGAATAAGTGGGCATGGGTCGGTTACTTCCAGATACACCAAGGTTTTTAAAACACGTCTACAAAGGAGCTAAAATGTTTTATTGTCCAATTTTGAGAGTATTAGAGTTAAGATTAACCCTAACCCTCAAAGTTCAATGAGCTTTCAGAGAAACTGGCATTTTTTAATTATATATTTGCAAATCATGAGCAACATGTCTGTTAAGCAGCTAAGAGATTATCTGTAAACACAAGAGCATAAATACACTTATATCATTTAATGAAGAGCACAATAGTAGCTCTCTTAACTCTCTTGCGATACCTTTAAACCATTGTATTTTTTGCCTTGTACACAAAATACAATACAGCTTTTTAGGCAGAACTTCTTACTGTATAAAGGAGAGATGTAGTACGGCACAGTGACGTAGCGTCCACGTTTGGGCCACAGGCAGCCTTTCAGAACACATGGATCTGCGTTCTTGTTTGTGGTTTTCG